ATCTTACAGATGGAGCTTTCTGCACCATCAGTCACGGTCTTCAGGTCAGGAGAGAGCTCACCAAGCATCAGAGCAGCAAGCATTCATTTGTCTGCACCATCGCTCTGGGTCTGTTAAATGGGCTTTATTTTGCTCCCCACTGTGTCTCTGCCTCTCTGACACTAAGGCCTGACCACTTCCCGTTATCCCAGACTGGGCTGCTCGGGGGAGACTTTGAGAAGGAGGGAGGAATTTTACACAATCATTTGCATCTGAATTTCAGTCCACCTTTATAGCTTTCTAGCTAAGATTTTTTAACCTCTCTGAAAGGTGGTTTCCAGACGGTGAAGACTGTATTAGAATATTCACACTACCGCATTGTCATGGAGATTGAGGGCAGTGAGACCTGCTGGGCCGCAACCTCACAATACTGCTGCTATTACTGTCAGGATTTTTTTTTTTTTAATTTTTTATTGGATTTTAGGTTTTGGGGTACATGACCAGAGCATGCAAGACAGTTGCGTAGGAACACACATGGCAGTGTGCTTTTCTTTCCTTCTCCCCTTCACCCACATTTGGCATTTCTCCCCAGGGTATCCCTCCCCACCTCCCCCTCCCACTGGCCCTCCCCTTTTCCCCCCAATAGACCCCAGTGTTTAGTACTCCCCTTTCTGTGTCCATGTGTTCTCATTTTTCATCACCCGCCTATAAGTGAGAATATGCGGTGTTTCATTTTCTGTTCTTGTGTCAATTTGCTGAGGATGACGTTCTCCAGATTCATCCATGTCCCTACAAACGACACAAACTCATCATTTCTGATTGCTGCATAATATTCCATGGTGTATATGTGCCACATTTTTCCAATCCAGTCTATTATCAATGGGCATTTGGGTTGATTCCAGGTCTTTGCTATTGTAAACAGTGCTGCAATGAACATTCGTGTACATGTGTCCTTATAGTAGAACGATTTATAGTCTTTTGGATATATACTCCCAGTAATGGGATTGCTGGGTCAAATGGAATTTCTATTTCTAAGGCCTTGAGGAATCGCCACACTGTCTTCCACAATGGTTGAACTAATTTACACTCCCACCAACAGTGTAAAAGTGTTCATTTTTCTCCACATCCTCTCCAGCATCTGTTGTCTCCAGATTTTTTAATGATCGCCATTCTAACTGGTGTGAGATGGTATCTCAATGTGGTTTTGATTTGCATCTCTCTGATGACCAGTGACGATGAGCATTTTTTCATATGATTGTTGGCCTCATATATGTCTTCTTTCGTAAAGTGTCTGTTCATATCCTTTGCCCACTTTTGAATGGGCTTGTTTGTTTTTTTCCTGTAAATCCGTTTGAGTTCTTTGTAAATTCTGGATATCAGCCCTTTGTCAGATGGGTAAACTGCAAAAATTTTTTCCCATTCTGTTGGTTGCCGATCCACTCTAGTGACTGTTTCTTTTGCCGTGCAGAAGCTGTGGAGTTTCATTAGGTCCCATTTGTCTATTTTGGCTTTTGTTGCCAATGCTTTTGGTGTTTTGTTCATGAAGTCCTTGCCTACTCCTATGTCCTGGATAGTTTTGCCTAGATTTCCTTCTAGAGTTTTTATCGTGCCAGGTCTTATGTTTAAGTCTTTAATCCAGCTGGAGTTAATTTTAGTGTAAGGTGTCAGGAAGGGGTCCAGTTTCTGCTTTCTGCACATGGCTAGCCAGTTTTCCCAACACCATTTGTTAAACAGGGAATCCTTTCCCCCTTGCTTGTTTTTGTCAGGTTTATCAAAGATTGTATAGTTGTAGATATGTTGTGTTGCCTCTGGTGCCTCTGTTTTGTTCCATTGGTCTATATCTCTGTTTTGGTACCAGTACCATGCTGTTTTGATTACTGTAGCCTTGTAGTATAGTTTGAAATCCGGTAGTGTGATGCCCCCCGCTGTGTTCTTTTTGCTTAGAATTGACTTGGCTATGCGGGCTCTCTTTTGGTTCCATATGAAGTTCATGGTGGTTTTTTCCAGTTCTGTGAAGAAAGTCAATGGTAGCTTGATGGGGATAGCGTTGATTCTATAAATTACTTTGGGCAGTATAGCCATTTTCACGATATTAATTCTTCCTAACCATGAACATGGAATGTTTCTCCATCTGTTTGTGTCCTCTCTGATTTTGTTGAGCAGTGTTTTGTAGTTCTCCTTGAAGAGGTCCCTTACGTTCCTTGTGAGTTGTATTTTTATAATCAGATGGGGTAGCAATGCAGAGACTGCGTATGGCCACAGCCCTGCTCTGTGGACCCCAGGCCCTCTTCATGACTGTAATAAATACAAAAATCCTCCCCCTTACCTGGCCATGGCTGCCTGACTACATCCCCTGGAAGCAAACAATTTATTTAAGAAGCAGAGGAAACACCAGCAGTGGAATCACAAGGTGGAAAAGGGAGATAGGGAAGAGAAGAAGCTGAGAACGAGCATGTGGCTAAGCCACCATTGCTGCTACACTGTGATGACTGTGACTGTGGGTGAGAGGGGCTCGCTCCTGCTGGGAGTCCTGGGAACCGTGTACAACACACATCTCAGAGCCACCCACCCAAGGGGCTAGGGATCTGCCCAGATGTGGTTGCTATAGGAAGGGGACTCCCTGCACTTCAGAAAAGGCCACCAGACCAATAGCACAAGGATGGGTAATCAAGCCAGGGGGAGCTCCAGTTGGCACTGAGGCAGGTGCTACGCTGCCAGTGCACACCTTGGTCAGCTTCCTGTGGCTCGTCCAGCTCCCTGAGCAACTTCTCTATACTATGAGACCAGAGAAAGCATCCTGTGTTGAGGTGGGAGGCAGTCCTAGAAGGAACCCTCAACAGCCTCCTGTGGAGCTTGTTGATTGACAGCAGACCACCCAGGCAGCTTGGCCCACCAGCAAGCATGACACAGCAGGTAAGGGTTCCAGTAGCATAGGCTTCCAGTCTGTAATGCGCCAACGCAGTATGCCCCTTGCACTGATGAAATGTGACACCAGTCTTGCCTAGGTATTTCTGCTCCTTTTCTCTGGGTGAGCAGCAGACACTTGGAGATGATCTCTCTCTTGCTGAGGGAGAAGCCAGAAGTGCTCAAATGAGCCCAGATGGAAGGAAGACAGACAGACAGACATCAAGAGATTTAGAGTAAAGAATTGGCTCACACAGTCATGGAATCTAATATGTCCTCAGATCTGTAATCAGCAAGCCAGAGACCCAGGAGAGTGGGGAGTAGAAGTTCCATCAAAGCCTGAGTCTGAGGGCAGGAGAAGACCCATGTCCCAGCTCAAAGACAATCAGGCAGAAAAAGAGAGTCCATCTTTATGCAAACTTTGTTTTATTCAGGTCTTCAGCAGACTGGATGTGGCCCACCCTCAGTGGGAGAGGGCAGGGGGGACATTGTTTTATTCAGTTTACTGGCCTTAATGTCAACCAGAAACCCAGAAACACACTTACAGACGTACCCAGAATAATGCTCAACCAAATATTTGGGCACCCTGTGGCCCAGTCAAGTTGACACAAAAAGTCGCCATCACTAATCAACACTTTGTCAACTTCACACTCATATGCACCTTTATAAACTCTACTTAATGTCCAGATAAAGACAGTAGCAAGATCAAAATTCTGTCTATCACGATACAATTTTCCTGCATACAACCACAGACGTACTGACTCCTTCCCCAGTACAGGAGTCCCATTCTTCCTTCAGTGATCCTTAGGCTTCTCCTTGTTATTCCTTAAAATAATATTTACATAATAGATGTAAAGTTAGCAATTTTAAAATACTGTGATAGGCCGGGTGTGGTGTCTCACGCTTATAATCCCAGCACTTTGGGAGGCCAAGGCGGGTGGATCACGAGGTCAAGAGATCGAGACCATCCTGGTCAACATGGTGAAACCCCGTCTCTACTAAAAATACAAAAATTAGCTGGGCATGGTGGGGCACGCCTGTAGGTCCAGCTACTTGGGAGGCTGAGATGGGAGAATTTCCTGAACCCAGGAGGCGGAGGTTGCAGTGAGCTGAGATTGCGCCATTGCACTCCAGCCTGGGTAACAAGAGCAAAACTCCGTCTCAAAAATAAATAAATAAATACTGTGATATAAATTTAGTACAAGCCAAGTGCAGTGGCTCATGCCTGTAATCCCAGCACTTCATGAAGCCAAGGCAGATAGACTGTTTGAGCCCACAAGTTTGAGACCAGCTGGGCAACATGACAAAACCCCATCTCTACAAAAAAAAAATACACAAATCAGCCAGGCATGGTGGTGCATACCTGTCATCCAAGCTACTTGGGAAGCTGAGGTGGCAGAAACACCTGAGCTTGGAGCAGTCAAGGCAGCAGTGAGTCGTGATTGTGCTACTGTACTCCAGCCTGGGCAGCAGAGTGAGACCCTCCCTGTCTACAAAAAATTCGTTAATTAATTAATCAAGTCAATATTACTATGTACATGATAAGTGTATAAGAAAAGAAAGAATAGAAGATATTTGCTTAATAGGTATATATATATGTATTTGTTGATAAACATGTTGTATACACAGACACAGTCATAAAAATTAGGAGTCAGACTCACAGTGATGACAGCCCTCACTTCCGTAACTGGCCACATGGCCCCAGCTGGTGTTTCACTCGCCTCTTCCAACTCTTCCTCTGCATTCCCTGCAGCTTCAGCAAGCACCTCAGCTGGTTGTGGCTTTTTACCTGTGGCCTGAACCTTCATTCCTGAAGGCCCTGGACCATTACCAGTCCTGCCTGAATCAAGCTGTAGTTTTCCATCGACTTTCACAGGACATGATAGTACTACGAGATGCCCTTTGGGACCTGTTGTATTCCAGACCTACTCCTCCGTATCCCCATCGTGGAGGAGCAGCCCAACTTCCCCTCAGCAGTCAGGGTCACCACCCACCCAGTGCAGTAACACCTTTCTTTGCTTGTTGATTCAGAGACATGAGAAGTTCTAAGTGGCCAAGTGACTGTGGAATGTTTGTTAAGTTTCCTGGTGAAAGCGTTCCTCTTTGTGGAACTAAGATCTCTAGGCCAGCAAAGCATCAGATCATGGAAACAGGAAGCAGAAATTTTGCTGGTGGGTCATGAGAGGTGGTAGTGAGAGGTGCCATTCCCATTTCCACCTTTCACGTCTAGACTTGTGAATCCTGTCACCTCCTCGGTGACACTGCCCCAACCCTAGAAGGTATGGCCACCTGCCTGGCACTGTAACTGAGTCTTCAAAGGGACATTCTGCTTTTCTATCCAATTGGCTTCTTCAGAAAGGTGCGGACATGGTAAGACCAGCCGATTCCATGAGCATCGGCCGATAGCTGCACTTATTTTGCTGTGAAATGTGTTCCTTAGTCAGAAGCAATGCTGTGTGGACTGTCATGATGGAGAAGACATTCTGTCAGTCCACAGATGGTAGTGTTGATAGAAGCACTACAGGCAAGGAAGGCAAATCCATATGCAGAGTTAATGTCTATTCCACTGAGGCTAAACATCACCCCTTCGACGATGAAAGCTCTTCACTGTAATCACCCACCACAGGCAGCTGGCTGATCACCCCAGGGCATGGTATCATATTGAGCGCTCAGTGTAGGTCTCTGCTCCTGGCCAAATAGACACTCAGCAGTGGTCATAGCCAGCTTGGCCTTGTGAGTGGAAGTATACGTTGCTGAGCCCATGTGAACCTCCATCCCTGCCACCATGGCCACCTTGTTCATGAGCCCATTTGGCAATTACAGTGGTGGCTGGGGAAAGAGGTTGACCAATAGCTACAGACTGGGTCATCCTATCCACTTGATTGTTAGATTTCTGCTCTACTGAGGTCACCTATTAGAAGGCATTCAACATAAGACTTAACACCTTAAAAACCCTAGAAGAAAACCTAGGCAAAACCATTCAGGACATAGGCATAGGCAAGGACTTCATGACTAAAACACCAAAAGAAATGGCAACAAAAGCCAAAATAGACAAATGGGATCTAATTAAACTCCAGAGCTTCTGTACAGCAAAAGAAACAGTCATTAGAGTGAACCAGCAAAGAATAGAATGGGAAAAAATTTTTGCAATCTACCTATCTGACAAAGGGCTAATATCCAGAATCTACAGAGAACTAAAACAGACTTACAGGAAAAGCACAAAGAAATCCATCCAAAAGGGGACGAAGGATATGAAGAGACACTTTTCAAAAGAAGACATATATGAGGCCAACAAACATAGAAAAAAAATGCTCATCATCACTGGTCATTAGAGAGATGCAAATCAAAACCACACTGAGACACCATCTCACCCCAGTTAGAATGGCGATCATTAAAAAACCTGGAGACAACAGATGCTGGAGAGGATGTGGAGAAATAGGAACACTTTTACACTGCTGGTGGGAGTGTAAATTAGTTCAACCATGTGGAAGACAGTGTGGCGATTCCTCAAGGACCTAGAGATAGAAATTCCATTTGACCCAGCAATCCCATTACTGGGTATGTATCCAAAGGACTATAAATCATTCTATTATAAAGACACATGCACACATATGTTCATTGGGGTACTGTTTACAATAGCAAAGACCTGGAACCAACCCAAATGCCCATCGATGATAGACTGGACTAGGAAAATGTGGCACATATACACCATGGAATATTATGCAGCGGTGAAAAACAATGAGTTTGTGTCCTTTGTAGGAACATGGACGAATCTGGAAATCATCATTCTCAGCAAACTGACACAAGAACAGAAAATCAAACACCACATGTTCTCACTCATAGGGAGGTGTTAATAAGAACACATGGACACAAGGAGGGGAGCATGACACACTGGGGTCTGTCAGAGAGGGGACTAGGGAAGGGGCAGTAGGGGAGTGAGGAGGTAGGAGAGAGATTAATGGGGACAAATGGCAGATGTAGGTGACGGGGGATGGAGGCAGCAAACCACCTTGCCATGTGAGTACCTATGCAACAGCCCTGCATGATCTGCACATGTACCCCAGAACCTAAAATACAATAAAAATAAAAATATAAAAGAAAGCATTCACGTAGGTCACAAATGTCTTCACATCTTTTTTCACCTCCAAAGATGTCTATCTACGTGCCTCCTCCCAGCTTCCTCACCACCAATGTTCCAATCATGCTCCTTCTAAGTGCTGACCATCAGCCAACCCAGTGACCACAGCCCTTCAATCCGTTTGTTTCTCATGTCTGGCCATTTCTCCTTCTGGGCAACATGTACAGCCAAGTGTGCTGCGCAAAGCTCTACCCACAGGGAGGATTTCCCTTCACTGCCGCCCTTCCGGGATGTCGCAGAAAGGGGCTGTGCTGCTGCAGCCTCCATTTTCAGGCGGTGCCTGCACATTGTACAGAACCGTCTGTAAACCAGGCCTGAGGCTTCTCTTCATCTTTTAACTGATCCTAGGGAACTCTCCGTGAGGCCACACGTGCAGGCTGGGAGAGAGAAGGCAGCAGAGCAAGAGTGGGGACCATGGACACTTGGGGCACTTCGTCATGTCACTTGCTTGTGCCTTCAGAGCCTGCTTGGGCCCAGCCACGTATATACCACTTCCACATGGCGATGGGGCGCTGCTGTGCACACCCAACTGTATGGCTCATTGGTCAGACAACGATCAGCTCATGATGGACAACCAAGGGTGAACAGTAACTTTGTGACCCACGTCTAAGTGCTCGGTCTATACTAAGCTGTTTCTCAAAAGGGGAGCCGTTATTCACAGGCTACAGCAGGGCTTTTCTCCAAAATGCTATGGGCCTGCACTGTGACTCCCTTCCAGGAGCTTGCGAAAGACTCCTTGCAGTGTCCCCATCTGCCACTGACACTCTGAGTACCACTGCGTCTTCTGGGTCACATGCACAGCAGCCTGAACCTGCTGCGAAGTGCCTCTTGTTCTGCTCTTGTTCACTCAAACCTTGCAGCTTTTGGGGTCACCAGATAAATGGGATGAATAACCCAGAGGAGGAATATGTTGCCTCCAGATTCCAAAGAGGTCCACAAGGCGTTGGGCCCCTTTCTTCGTTGTAGGAGGGGCAGGTGCAACAACTTACCCTTGACTTTATACGGGATATTCCAACAGGCCCTACACCTCAGGAAACCTAGAGCTTTCACTGACGTAGAAGCCTCTGAGCTCTTGTTGGATTTGTTTCCCACCTTCTGATCCACAAATATCTTACCAATACGTCTGGAGTCATTGCTACTCCTCGCTCACTAGGTCCAGTAAGCACAGTGTCACTAATGATGTTAATTAATGTGATATCCTGTGGAAGGCAAAGGCAATTAAGATCCTTGCAAACAAGTGGGGTGTTGATAGGCCCTGAGGCAGCTCAGCGTAGATGTGTTGGTGACCTTGACAACTGAAAGTGAACTGCTCCTTGTGGGCTTGACAAACAGGTAAGAAGAAAAGGGAATTGGCCAGGTCAGTAGCTGTATGCCAGGACCCAGGGATGTGTTACTTCACTTAAACAATGCAGCTACATCCAATACAGCAGCTGCAATGGAGTCTGCCTGGTTAACTATGATAAGCCACCACCAGTCTCCAAGATGTGTCTGTCTTGGGCACAGGCCAAATCTACCAGTGAATACGCGTGGCAGGAATCACTACCCCTGTATCCTTGTCCCTAATGTGGCACTGATCTCTGCCAGCCGTGTAGGAATGCGGTGTGGCTCTGGGTTTATTTTCCCAGCTAGAGGCAGTTCTACTGTCTTCCACTTGGATTTTTCTACTCCAATAGCCCTGATTCCACATGTTAAGGAACCAGTTGGGTGAGGATTCTGAAAGCCTATTCCAACCATGCATTCCAGAACAGAAAATAACTACGGGATGGGCCGTGGGACCCACTGGGCCCACTGTGAGATGGACCTGAGCTAAAATTCCACTGATCATCTGAATCCCTCCCCCGACCCGATTCCATCAAAAAAAGACCCAGATCTGATTGGTGGGCCACAGTGAAATTTTGGGTCTCCTGGAATTAGTGTCTGCTCAGAGTTAGTGCCTCGCAGTCTCTGAAAGGTCTCCTTTCTTTCCCCAGCTGCATAGTTACCCTGATATATACAGACATGTCTCCGTTTGGGGAAGACCAGAAGCAAGATTAACAGCACAGACTTTTTGGAGTGCCAGGATCCTTCCTCAAGGTGACCCGTCCTCCCTTCATCCAAGGGGTCCTGTGTGGGAATTGATTGAGAGACCCTGATTCTCTGTTTTTATGCTTCAGGTTAGATTTTTACTCAGTTGACCTAGAACTTTTCTGTTTATTAAAATCACTTATGAATTTGGTAGACTTACTGTCTATTTCACTTCTAGGAACGCTGTGATAGACTAGCTGATGCCACAGGTGCTCTGGAGTCAGTCTACTTGATTGCTGCTTTGGCTCTGCCATCCGTTAAGAGTAGCCATGCCTACCTCGTCTTTGGTGGCTGAGTGCTGCCTCCTGGCCCCTGTCACCCAGGATCTTATGACTACATGCCAGTAATTAGATCCTGCACTGCGCTGAGATCCCACTGCTCTTAGCTGTCTGAACCCAGTGGCTGTCATCGCCAACGGAAGTCCGGCCATCAGAGAAGCATGAACACAGAGCTCCTCACGGATGCCAGGGCTCCCCGCCCAGACTTGCTTCTCACAGTCGTGGTGAAGAGTGTGGTTTCCGGGCTCTCCTACTGTGCGTGAGTAGCTCCTAAGGGACAAACCCAGTGTAACATGTCCTTTACTGAAGAGTACGCATGTGCAGATCAGCGCATTGCCGGCTCAAACATAAGCTCTCACCGGTCGAGAAACTGGGCCTTGGTAAATGCTCTAATTCCTGTGTTCAAAAACTCCTGTGGATTGCTGCAGAGGCATCATATTACATTAGAATGACATCAATCAAATCTTATGAAACTCAAATTTAGAAGAGTACACACTTACGACTAATACTTGGGATAAAATTTTTAAACGAAAATCTAATCTCGGATACCAGTTGAGACTTAGATGACACTTTTGGACTACCAGCTTACCTTTCAGAAAATCAAGCAATGTTTTGCATAGCAGAAAACATTTATCCCTCACAAGGCAGCCCCTTGGCCCAATCAACGTCAGTGCAACGGTGCAGAGTACGTCCGTGCACATGGCTAGCTCCCACCACAAGGGCACACAGTGGGCTAGCTGCCTCTACCTCGGGGCTCTCTCCAAAGCCATGGTGCTGGTGTGTGTCCCAGGCACAGTCACTGCCAATGAGGACTAGCAGCCAGTGCATAAATGCCCCATCTTTAAAGGGTGGCTTTTAGGTGATTTGTACAGGGCTTCTCAGAGGATAAGACGCCATTGCCCACAGCAATAACCAGCTCCATTATGTTCCCTCTATTGATTTCCCGTTCGTTCCTGTCTTCTTCCCCTCATTTTTCCTCCTTGGAATCACCTCTCAAATAAAGCACCTACACCCAGAACGACGTGTCAGGCTCTGCTTTTGGCAGAGCCCAGGTAAAGACACTGGCTTGCCTAATACGTATGAAAATGTGGGAACCCATGTGTTTAGTTTTCCAAGTTGGGAGGCGATGAATGTGTGTTACTTCTGTGTTGGGTAAGGCCAGAAGGCAGGTATTCTTAGGATAAGAGCACTCATTTGATGGGGAATTGATTTCAGCAAGTAGCTTTTTATTCTCAATCCTCATAAATCTACTGATCACTTACTGCATAGAAAGTTTCATGACATGCACTATGAAAGGTAGAGAGGAGAATAAATTAATTTAATCTCTTGTAGTTATCATTTTTTAGGAGGTATAAGCATATGGAAACGTGACCAGCATGATGGCACGGTATTTTAAAGTTCCAAGAGTGAAGCACATAAAGGCAGCTCCTTCTCTAAGAGTTCTGTAAGGGATTGAACATATTAGTAGAAACGCATCACAAGATGCGTGAGCCTTGAAACAGGTTCCTGACCAATACTAAGAGACACTAACGTCATAATTCTGAAGAATAGTTCCCCGCCTTTACCCAACATGAATTTGGCCATTCTATCTGGGACTCATTGCCCCACGGTGGATAATGGGATAGGCCAGCCACCACTAACATGTAGGAACCAGGGGTAACCCTACACATGGTGAAGTATGAGGCAGAGTGAGGAAGGGGCAGACCTCCCGCTGGAAGAGCAGTCGTTCTTGGATTTGTTGTATCAGAGCACACTTTTCTTTATCACGACCTTTTGAAGACCTGTGGTCTCATATACTAAAAAGAAAGAACACACCCTTGGGCTATGCTTGGGATAACAGGACAGACAGGCACCTGAACACGTTCTGTTAAGATTTACAAGATGGGCATGCTTGAAGCAGTCAGTGGAAACAGTGGGATTCGCTTATGAAGAACAGCAATGAACACACAGGTGTCTATTTACCCTCGACTCAAAAATGAAGCAGTCTCATTGTTAGGACAGCAAGAGTTCATTTAGCCTGAATGAAAAGAAGAAAAAGACATGCAAGGAAAGAATTACATTCACAGCAGGCTTTAAAAGATGACTAGGAGTTCAGTGGACAGTCAAGGTGATGCTGGGCTTCCCTTCTGGGAAGGTATACTGCTTGGGCTGCTGGGCTATTTTTACACATAACACGTCCATACCCTCGGGGACTTTTTGACTCTGGTTTCTCATCCTACCCTTCTGTTTCAGTTCTTTCTAGTCTAAGAGGTTGGAAATCCCAGAATTCAAATTATGATGCCCCAGAAAGTGCTATTACAAATGTATGAAATAATCTCACTGAAAGATATGGAGGTACAAGGTATTGACCTAAGTAGTTTTAGAGAAGAGCAGAATGCAGAAGACTGAAAGCAAAGGGGCTGCCCATCGGCACTGTGTTTCAGTTGGTAAAGTTGTCTCCAGCGGGGCACGTGGGTAAATGATTCTGAAACCATTGTACCTGTCACTTCACTTGAATAATGAGTAAACTGATGGCAGAAGGTGGAGCCAGCTTTCTCACTGTCGGAGCAGAATGTTGTAGAGAATCAAGGGCTAGAACTCACGAGATGCTGGATTCCAGTTAGAGACATCGGCGTGAGTTTATATTTAGCTCCATATTAAGATAGAAGGACAGATAGGTGTTAGCAAACACACATATATTTCCTTGCTGTATCTGCTGAGGTCTAGAAACAATGATATTCCAGCAGCAGTGAACACATCTGGCACCCAGGTTTTGGGTTTTGTAGCAGGCAGATTAATTTTTTTCCTCATCTTAATCTCAGAAACCTGTGAATATGATAGATTACATGACTACGAGAAATTAAATTTGCTAGAGAAATTAAACTTGCTAATCAGATGACCTTAAAATGAAGAAATTATTCTGGATTATCTGGGCTGGGCCCAAAGTAATAACAAGGGTCCTTTAAAGTAGCAGAGAGAAGCAGAAAATGAGTCCATTTCACAGTGATGCTGTGTGAGGAGGTCGCTACCAGTCGCTGCGAGCTTTGAAGGTAAAAGGGAACCACAAGTCAAGAAGTGCAGGCAGCCTCTGGAAACTGGAGCAGGCAGGAAAAAGGATTCTCTATATGACATGTACCCTTGATACAATGTAATCAGAATGATGCTTCACACCTGCTGCTTTTCTTGCCAAAATCCATAACTCCATGACTTCCCTTCACACCTGCTGCTTTTCTTGCCAAAATCCATAACTCCATGACTTCCCTTCACACCTGCTGCTTTTCTTGCCAAAATCCATAACTCCATGACTTCCCTAATGATGAGAAAAACCTACAAATGCCAATAGAAAGCATGCTAAAAAAATCAACAGTGGTGTCATCAAAAACAATCAAATTGTAAGAAACTGTTACAGCCAAGCTTTGCCTAAAGATACATGATTACAAAATGCAGTGTAATATCCTGGATGCGATCCTGGAGTGCACACACACACACACACACACACACGAAATAACACAGATACACACACGTCACCACACAAATATACACATACACACACGTACGTACACCACACACGCAGACATACACACAAACACACACAAATGAAAACACACCTCATATGCACACACATCACACATACACACCACACACATGCACACACACACACAGATGCACACATAGGTAAAAAGGTAATCTCAATAAGTAAGGACTTTAGCTGCAATTTAATTTAATTATTGTAATTACAGTAAGGATGTTAATAATAATGTATTAATATTATTTGATTAATTCCAATAAATTTACTAATGTAAGTTGTCAACAGAGGAAACTTGGTGATGGGTAAATGAGAACTCTGTACTATCTTTGAAAGTTTTTTTGCAAATCTAAAACTAGTCTGAAATTTAAAAATACATATTCTACTCTACTATGAGATCAACTTTTTTAGATTTCACATGCGTGACACTATGCAGTATTCGTCTTTCTGTGCCGGACTTATTTCACTTAATGTAATGTCTTCTGGGCTCATCCATATCATCACACATGATGGGATTTCATTCTTTGGAATGTCTGAATAGTGTTCCATTGCTTATCTGTAACGCTTTTAAAATCCATCCTTTGATGAACATTTGCAGAGTCTATGCCTTGGCTATTGTGAATAGCGCTGCAGTGAGCATGGGGTACAGAGATCTCTGACATCCGGTTTTCCTTTTTATGTACATTCACCGTAGTGGGATTGCTGGGTCATACGGCAGCTCCATTTTCAGTCTTTTAAGGGGCCTCCATACTGTTGTCCATGTGGCTATACTAATTCACGCTCCCACCAACAGGGTATGAGTTCCCATTTTCCCACATTCTCACTAGCATGTGTTAATTTTTGTCTTTTCAATAATAGCACTCTAACTCTGGTGTGGTGACAACTCATTGTGTTTTTTAAATGTATACATAATAGATGTACATATGTTTGGTGTACATTTGATATTTTGGTACAATTCTATAAAGTGTAAAGATCAAATCAGGGTAACCAGGATATCCACCACCTTACACATTTATCTTTTCTTTATGCCAGAAACATTCGCATTCTTCTCTTCCAGCTATTTTGAATTGTACAATGGATTATTGTTAATTATAGTTACCTACTGATCTCTTGAACACTAGGTCCTATTTCTTGTATCTAACCGAATCTTTGTACCCATTCATGATCCCGAGCATTTTTTCATACACCTGTTGATTATTTGTATGTCTTCTTTTCAGGTGTTTAGAATCAGATTATTTTTAAATCCTTTTAAAATCACATTATTTGGGGTTTTTTTGCTGTTGAGTTGCTTGAGTTCCTTATATATTCCAGATATTAACCCCAGGTATTAACTTCAGATGTTGTCAATTTGCAAATATTTTCTCCACTCTGTGGGTTGCTTCTCCTTTCTGTCAATTGCTGTCCCAGAGGCCGGGAAAGGGAGGATGCGGTGAGGCTGCTCCCGGGTAGCAGGTTACAATTCGAGAAGGAGAATTAGATCTTGTACCCATCGCACACTACAGTGACTATAGTTAGAAACAAGGTATTGTATATTTCAAAAGAGCTAGAAGAGAGGAATTTTGAATGCTCTCACTACAAAAGTATGGCAAGTGTTTGAGGTGACAGACATGCTAATTAACCTGATTTGATCATTGCACGATGTACACATGTGTCAAACACAACACTGCACCCCATAAACATGTACAATTATTACGTGTCAACGGAAAACAAAATAAAACTTAAAGAAGGGCACTAATTCAAAGGGGGTCAAGATATCAGGGCTGCAGAGTGGGGGCTGATGGAACTTTAGAGAGATAAGGTGCCACATCTCGTAAGGAGAAAAAAAAAACCAAACCTGAGAAGATTTTTGTGAGGTTGACTTAAAAGGTCAGCACACCATCACTCAAGTGAAGCACTAAGTAGCAGTCATGTAGCTGCTTTCTTTTTTCCCCACTAAAGCAGTTTAGAAAATGTGCTTCCAAGGGCACTCGTGGGAGGGTTCTGAGTCCATTCTGTGGCCTGTTGTAAATAGTTTTAGTGCTGAGCCTCGGGTTTCAAAGGGGTGATGAGATTGCTTCTGACCAGCCTTTGTTCTCTTACTTGAAAGGAAGTGGTCCCTTCTGTTCAGTTGTGTCTTGCAGGGAAAAGGAAGGTACGTGAGAAGCATGAAATGTTTTCAGCACACCTCCTGAGCAGCCCTGTGACCGGGCAGGTTCCAGGAGATTTGACTCAGCTTGGGCTGGAGCTGAAGGCTAAAGGATGCGGTTGAATAGGATGGCCGCAGGCTAGGGCTGCAGGATGCATCATTTCCATGAGCTAGATAGTCCTAAGACAGCTGGATGTCATAAAACACAGAAGAGGACTAACAGGGAAACAATAGCCCCTGAGTAGAATGTTTTAATGCACAGGGGGGATGTATTTAACAAAATAAAGCTACTGTGTCTGCTGGTGAACACTGAAAGAACATGCAAAAACAGTCTTCTATTTCTACAGTGGTGACGCAAAACCCCACTCCTCTCCCAGCAGTGAAGAA